CGTCTGAGAAGCAACATCTCATTTACAATTGGGACCAGAAACTAGAGTAATTTCTGTATCAGCCAAGCATACCTAATAACATATAAATAATGTAAATTGTAAAAACAAGAAAAATAGATGAGTTAGTTACTTAATTTGAAAAGCATTGAGAGTGTGACTGCAGTGCTGTGAGGCTCTATGAATACTGCCCTGAGATTGGCAGTATTGCCACAAAGAATATTTATCTTCAAAACTCACATAGGCACGCAGGTTTATGTGATGGTATCACGAGGAGTTTGGTGCTGCCCTGTGCCCAGCAGTCTTGTCTCCAGTTTAGCTAAGAACCTAAGAATGTTACATGTTTTTAACAGTAGTTAATTGACCTCAGTGGGGGTGGCTCATAAGTTTACATCATTAAGATTTTTGCTGGAGTAAGTCCAGCACTCTTTAGGATTGGATCCCTATAGCCAAATCCTCTGTGTCCACTGGGAATTCAGTCTACTGGAGGTGACTGAAGAGGTGTAGGTGCTTCCTGGGTGTGCTTGGCCTCTCATTGCATGGTTGCCCTGCGCTTAAATTAAGAATTTCTGTATTTTGATTTCTTACTCAGCCCAAAGGAGTTTTCTTCCTTCAAGGTCAGTTTAGAGTGCTGAGGAATATTAGGTGTCTTGATTTCTGGCCATATGCAGGGTTAGAGAACTATAAAATGGCATGTCTTATCTCTCTCACCACTTATTGCACAAATCTCCTGTAGCAAGTCAGATGCTGTGAGTCCAGAAATATCTTCATGATGGACGTTTTGACTTTTTATTTTTTCCTATTTTAATACTAGAAATACAGAATGGAAAATAAAAGCTAGAATTAAAATTAAGATCAGTTGCTGAAGCTGAAAGAGCACAATTGTAATATGTTAGAAGATTGCCTTGTTTTAGAGAAAGTGCTGATTAAGATCAAATTTATCTCGAGTTTACATTTTGATTGGACCTAAACTGAGGGGTGGGGGGGTTATATTTCAGACACAGTGCAAATGATGCATGTTAATATCCTGTGTTTATTGCCACTTGAAATTACAGCATAGCTTTGAATTGCTGCCAAATCTACAGTTAAGTCTCCCTAGTAATCACTATGATTATTTCAAGTCTTCATGGTAATAGTGGGAAGAAAAAGTATAATACACAAGCTACTGTAGCCTAAGCTGTCAGAGTCTTTTTATCCTTTGGGGTTCACATTGTGATTCCACCCAGTAGAGGGAATGGTCAGACGTGCACATTGGCCAATCAGTCCTGAAAGAGAGATTAAATAAATGGATTTAATTATGTTATTTTCAGATTTCTTTGGCTTTTATATAACCTCCTGCCTCACTGACTTTTCCTGAAATGAGGAAAAATGTGGGTTTTCTTTACTTTTGGAAGGCTTTAATTCATGTATTGGCATGGTGTAGTATTTTTCGGTTTTATTAGAAATCTTTTTTTTGCTTTCCTGTACCATACTCTATATCTAGAACATATTCTATTTTTACTCATTTTCTTTACAATCCATGGGATAGTTTATCTCTTTGAAATATTCTTTCACCTCTGCTTAACTGTTGGAAGTTGTAGATTTACATCTGATCTGAATGTATACACATGCATTATTGTGCTTGATGGGAGATTAAGCTGATGGAAGATTAAGAAGTGAGGTCAGGGATAAACAGCACAATATAAAGTCACAATTTACTGAAAAAATATTGGAAGAGTCTCACAGGAGGGAGAAATGCTCTGTAAAAAGTTGTTTAAAAGAAGCTTAAGTGAAATTTAGATATGATTAAAAGCTGTTCTGGTTTTTGGATACACAATTATTCAAGCAAGTAGTTGTTTATTTTGAGTTAAAACCCTCAGCAATCACTGTTGGTCACCTCTCCAGGTAGTATGTCCCACTTGCATCCCTTCATCAGTTGCTAGCAGGAAGGTTTTGCTATTTGTTCCACTTACAAAGTAAATAAAACTTGTTATGGAAAGCATTTAATGTGAGTACGATATTTACTCTGGAATATTTTCCTCAATAAGTAGTATTAGCCAGCAGGCAAGTCAGAGCACTCAGTGTGTTAGCTGTGGGAAGCAAATCTGTATGCCTGGCACATAATGATCACTTTAAACTATTGAAATATAAATCAGAACAGTGAGTGAAATTGAAAAATATTTCATTAAATGAATTATGATGTGTGTGTGAATAAAAATATAGTTAGGGACTCTGCCATATATGCTTAGGTGTCTGCAATCTTTAGGCTATGTTTTTTCTGATAGATTTAACTGTGAAAGATACATAATATTTTTGAAGGACAGCATTAGCAAATATCACAGTGTGTTTGCATTTCATTATAGCTAACATTTTTCATTTTTCTTATGACTTCAGTTTCTAGAATGATGTTCTCTGCAAGATGCTCTTGGGTCCTCATTATAAAACTTAGACATGCCTTTACTCAAGGCTCATTAACAGTGAAAACCACTCCCAAGTTTATAAACCTCATTCCTTCATTATTTTGAAGCCAATATTTTGGTATTTTTCAAAGTGTAAGATTTGTTGGCCCAGGAAAAGAAAGCAAGACGATAGTGCTGTAGTCCAGAGATTACTGTTCTGTACAAGTGCAGTTTATGCCTTTTCTGGAGTATATGCCATACCGATTTGTTGTCTTAGTTGTATACATTTTTAAAATCATTAACAGGAGAGAATGGAGGTAATGATATTTACAGAAAATGTTATTTGGGCTTAGAAGACTGTATCCAAAGATATTGAGCTTTCTATATGGAATTACTACTGTACTGCTTCTAGTAATACAGCATGGAAGGACCTGTATACACTGCAAGCCAAGCCTTATGCATTCGTTAAAATGTGAGGATGTGCCTGGCCACAAGCTTCAGCAGGAATTTGGCTGCTCCCACTGCAGCCTTGCTTGTGGAGTTTACTTTTAGCACAGGACCAGGTCCTTCTTTCTGTGATCAGGTCAGGAACCAACAGGAACAAGCATTATATAGCTCGCTCAGCATGCAGATAGTTTGAGTCCATTTATTTCCAAGAAAAAGTAGATATTTTGAGCTTGAGTTGAAGATGACAGTATGGCAAGGGAAGTACAAGTCTCCGTGCTGGGCATAAACACTTATTCACTCCACCTTGCAAGGCAAGCAAAGGGATAGGGCAGCACATGAGAGCCACATTCAATTTTAGGTTGGTGCCGTGCCCTTTGCAGAAAACCTGCTAAATCATCGTGTCACAAGAATCTTTGGATGCTATATCTAGGCCACCAGCAGCATGCCTGGAGCGTATATAGTAATAAATTAAACAGATACTTTTTGAAGAGTCTACTGAGAGACAGAAGGCTATCGGATACAGTTGGAATAAGAGAGGGCATTTGTGAAGGTATCATTTATAGAGGCTTTCCAATAAAAATGACACAGTTTCCTACTCTTGGGTAAAGCGTATCATTAAAAGAATACAAGATCATAGCAAGGTTGTGCACTATTATCTTGTTCTTCTTGCTGACCCAGTCTCACAGCTAATAGAAATACATTTGGCTTAATATATGCTTTAGTGTGGTGTTTCAGTGGTGGACCATGGACCCAGAAGTATGTGCAGTTCTCTCTCTTGTTCAACAATGTGCTTCAATGTGTGCCCCATTTTAGCTATATGAAAGCTGTGCAGAAATTAGTGCAACTGTGTGTGTGCTTCAAGTACAAGTACACATGCTTAAGTAACCTGTCAAATTACAGCGTCTACAAATGTGGTATTTATAGATATTTTTTTTTCCCCCAAGACCAATTGCAGTTAAAGTTCCGTCCAGCTGTCATGTCTGTGTAATTCATTAGAAATTTCAAATTTTTAACTTCAGCTTTACTCTAAAAAAAAAAAAAAAAGCACTACATAAAATTTACACTGTTTGGTCTAATATATTTCCTTCTCTGTGTTCACGTTATTGTAATTCTGTTTGTATAACTCACTGCCATTTATCTCTGTAAGCAATTTACAGACACTGTATCACAGTGATCAGGATTCTGTGGTGCCTTCTGCATCATTTGCTGAATATTCTACACATATTTTGAATTCAGGACTTATTTTTTTAATCGTTTTTGAAGTGTGAGCCAAATAGAACCCAGCTGGGCTTTGAAAATCCATGGGGTTTTTTGTAGGCTATCAGTTAATAAAGCCACCTTTTTGAATGCAAACTGGGCCTGTTTGGTCTCAAAAGGCAATAAAAATGGATCCTCACATTGGAATTTTTCGAACCATGCTATAACATGCTGGCCAACTGCAAAAGGTGAAGATGTTGAAAAGAGTGAAGTTCTGTGGGGACAATGTGGGGATAATTTCTTTGTTGCTGAAAGCCTGACGTGAAGTTTACACAAGGAGACAGCTCAGGCTTTTAGTATGTTTGAGTCAAGGTGTTATCTGGACCTGAGAAGGAAATGCAAATAATTGATGAGCGTATTTTTCTGCATCAAAGTGAATTGCCATTTTATCCAAAATGTGTCATCAGGAGGAGAATGGTGAAGAAATGGAGAGATGTTACAAACTAGTTCTTTCTCCTGGGTTATTCTTCTGATGTAACTGTAACAGTGATTATTTTTTACATTTAGCATTTATAAAGGCAGCCTCACTAGATAAAGTGATGTATTTATATGGACATGTTAAAATGAGTCATTACTAGAATGAATTCTTTTTTTGGTTAGTCTGAAGATTTTCTCGTGTGGCCTCATGAACCTTGCACAAGGACCGCAAGCCAAGGCAGTCATTTTGAGTAGGGATGAGGAGTGTGATCAATTTGGTGTGATTTGCAAGAGAAGTTATAGAATTTAATGTTCACAGATTTGGTCAGGGAAGATTAATAGGATCTTGCAGTCCTTATCTTAGATGCTTTTAAATTTCCTGTCCACAAAATTTTTACAGGTAAGGTATGTACAAAAACTGACTTTCACACAAAAAATAAGGCTGTCCTGTCTGTTACAGAGAAATCAGTATTCTGAATATATGTTGTCTGTTTTGTCTTTTAGATTATTCTTGTAAGTTCTTCCCATAATGACCGTGACCAAAGCCTTTTCATAAGCACGGATGAAGGAGCCACTTTCCAGAAACAACCCATTACTTTCTTTGTGGAAACTCTCCTTTTTCACCCAAAAGAAGAAGATAAAGTACTTGCTTACACCAAGGAAGGCAAGGTAAAGCTTGAAAATACAGCATTTGTTTGAAATTTAGGAATTACTTTGTTAAAGAGATATAAAAAAGTTCTGATATGCTGATTAGTGTTGGGTTTTATGAATTACTAGTTGTGCAGTAGGGGATCATATTCTGATTTTGAGGTTTATTTAAATATTTATTGTCTTCATGTCCAAATCTTTGTTTTTATGGTAACTTCAATCCTGGCATTTTCAGTTAATATGGATATTGGTAATATTTATCCTCCTGCATATTATAGTTAAATAGCACCTCTGCAGCGTGCTCCTCCCTAGAAAGTGACCTTAAGCAATTGCTTTGTAATTTTACAGAAGCATAAAGTTAATGAAGCTGAAATAGTGCCTCCAAAGGCCATTCATGAGATGTAAAGTAAAGTAATATAAAATAAACACCTTAGTCTTACAGCAAAAAAGGATTTGGGGAATCAGTGAATCTGTAGAAATGTAGCATAATTCTTTCTCTTATGATGTATTTATACCACTTTCAGATTCAGGAGTTGTATCATGTGGTTTGTGAATTTTGGCCGACTTTCAGAGTTCTTTTTGTTAAATTACTAAGTAATTTTTCTGAATGGGTTAGGCTAAGCACTGATTAGTGTGCACACAGTCTGTAAATGTGTAGTTCCTCTCTTTTTCATGGTGCCAAAACTGCAATTGTAATGTCACTGTGACTCTGGTCCTGGTAGTGGTCTTGACTCGCCTCCATCGTTACTCCTGTTTTAAACTGAAATTAATAAACTCTAGTCCATTTTAATCCTTGTCAGAGTTCACAGGTGTATATTTAGGTGATGAGATTAGTCAGAGAAAGTTGCTCATGCTGCAGCCAAACACTGCACTGATTTCAATGACAGAATCATAGAATTGTTTAGGTTGGAACAGACCTTTAAGATCATTAACCTAACACTGCCAAGTCCACCACTAAACCATGTCCCTAAGCCCCACGTCTACGCATCTTTTAAACATGTCCAGGGATGGTGATTCAACCACTTCCCTAGGCAGCCTATTCTAATGTTTGACAACCCTTTTGGTGAAGAATTTTTTCCTAATATCCATCTAAACCTCTCCTGGTGTAACCTGAGGCCACTTCCTCTTGTCGTATCGCTTGTTACTTGTGAGAAGAGATCGACCCCCACCTGGCTGCAACCTCCTTTCAGGTATTTGTAGAGAGAGGTGGGGTCTCCCCTCAGCCTCCTTTTCACCAGACTAAACAACCTCAGTTCCCTCAGCCGCTCCTCAGAAGACTTGTTCTCCAGCCCCTTCACCAGCTTCATTGCCCTTCTTTGGACACAATCCAGCACCTCAATGTCTTTCTTGTCATGAGAGGACCTAAACCGAACACAGTATTCGTGGTGTGGCCTTACCAGTGCTGAGTACAGCAGGACAATCACTTCCCTATTCCATCAAGTTATCCTTTGTGATGTTTTCTGGGATGTATAAGTTAATAGCCGATCCCAAAACAATTAATGTTTACAAGGATTTGCAAATAAGGATAGAACTAGAATAAAGAACATAGCAAACCAAACTCAGTCACAAATTACATTAAATATTTTACTTAGCAGCTTCCATTTGAAATCCTAACACAATTACAAGTATGTTCAATGCATGTTATGTAAACAGAATACTTCAGGGAAGTCTGAAGTTATTAAAAGCTTGTTAGGAAAAGCTCTTTTTTCAGTTTGACTTTTGTTTCTGACAATAGATATAATTCCTGAATTCTGCATAGTTACAGAATGGCAGAACCTTTAAGCGAAAGAGTCCAAAGAAGTGTATTGAAGAAGTTGTCCAGCCCACAAGAAGTGGGTAGAGATATTTGCCAGGAGATAGAAAGAGGCAGAAACACAAAGTGAAGCATTTGCCTTGTGTTTTGATGAATTATGCATGATAGGGAGATTTTCACCCATTTTATACTTGGATAATATTCCAAAAGGAGTGACGCTATTATTTGCCAATCTTAAAATGTGACTGGACAAAAAAAACCTACAAAATATTGAGTAAAGCTCTGCAGGAGTAGCAGGAAGGGTTAGGTAATCTGATGGACTTCTCTCAGGCTTTCAATATGATACTAAAAGGAGTCAACCATAAAGACCTACTGGATAAGTCTTACATCTTTAGTAAAGATGTGTAGGAATAAAGGATGCCTTTGAGTATAACTGGGTCAGTAACCTTCCTAAACTTTGTATAAGATCTGATATGTTTGGCCTTGGGGAGAGAGGAAGATGAAGTGATCTTAGCAAAGGAGGAGCTGAAGGTCAAAATTGCAACTTGACATAAAAAGAGGTCACTGTACTAAAATCAATGCTCTTCAGAGATAGTGTTAATCTGAATTTGGCCTAGGAGATGGTATACCCTAGGTTTTTGAGTTAAATAACTTTACCTTCACTGAAACAAAGTAGTATCAATCTTAAACTCAGGAGAAGCCATTACCTTCTGTTACTCAAATGATTTCCTACAATCACACTTCTAAGAATACAAGGAATACAGGATCACATCCTTCATAAATAGCAATCAGGCTTCTCTGTCTACTGGACCATCACTGCCTTTCTCACAACTTCTGATTTGATTTAAGGCTTATTTTATATTGCAAAATATGCATTGTTCTTTCATTCAGAACCCTAGATTTTGTTTAAATAAAGCTCTAGCCTCTAGCTGACACTATAAATGAATGCAAATGCAGTCAATATGGTTGGATTAATCCATTTACTGCCTCAAATCTATACTTTCTTTTTCTGGCTACCTCAGTTATAATGAATAACAATCAGCTATTCACTGAGTCTATATAAATGCTTCTAGATTATTTTTTTAAAACTCAACGGGGATGCAGTACATTTTAGTTGTTCATTTGGAAGCTGAAAGGATGAAAAATGGAAAAACTGAGAAAAGCCTTTTAATTTTTTTTTTAAAAAGTGATTCCATGCATTTATTGCATGGATGGCAATGAACAGAATTCTAACATCTGTTAGATGTGTTTGCTGAAGTCAGAGATTTTAGCTGTCAACTAGTGTAACTGTTTTCACCTCATATCTAATCTCATTTAGTAGTTTAATCATATGTATCTGCTAAAAACCAAAACGCATATGGGTCACACACATGGGTTTAATTAAAGGAAGTTGAATGTGTGCATAAGTTAGGTACACGTTATTTTTTATTTATTTCAAATTGTGCATCAGTTTAAAATTCCTCTCAGTTTGAATGTGCCTTATCAGTCCTACTTCACTCTCCCTTACAGTAAGATTGCAAGGGCTTCCCCCTACACTAAACCAAACTGTTCATTCATAAGCTTCCAGACTTTAGTTTTAAACGTGTGTGAGGGCAGGTAGTTGGGGTTTGGTGGTGGGGGTTTGGTTTGGTCTTTTTTGGCCCCTTCTACACAGACATCACTGCTGTAATGGCAGGAATCTTCTTGCGTTTTCTTCTGAAATTCATCCATGACAAGATTATATCCTTTTATCTGCTTGCCAGTGTTATCCCTGATCCTAAATATCTCCCTTTGCTCTTGCCAGGAACCTCTTGAATTCTCGGCTTTCTTTCAGGTTGGACACCAGGGTGAGGGCAGCGCATTAAATAATAATCTCTTCCAGATTTATAGCAGTCTGCTGAGGCTGGTGACTAGCTGAGCAGGGTCCATCCTTTTAGAAAGACGGTGAAACCAATGATTAGCTTTTCTCTAATGCCTGTGGTGACAAATGTTTGAAGAAGTAAGAAGCTTAGGTTCTCCATCTTGCAGTCTAGCCCATTCAAAGCCAGATCCCTCCTTCCCAGGAGGTTGCTCTGAGCTACGTGCTGTAAAATACGCTGGTTGCAGCAAACCCTAACCCACATAATAAAACTAAGATCAGAGAGTTAGCAGGCAAATCAGGAGCCTGGCTCTGCACCCCATCATTAATGCATTTAGCTCTGAGGTTGAAGACTTTTTGATCCCTGATCATTTCTGTCTACGCGTTGACTGGGTGAATGCTAAAGTAAGCAATCTGAGTCCCGATTGCATTTTCTTACCCGAACTGTGGTTTACCTGCTTTAATTCCACTGCGGTGGAACAAAGCCCCATCATTGCGAAGTGCAAAGTAGCTGGGAAATACTGTTTCATCTCTAATTCAAATTTTAGTAAATTTACCAATAGAGTTTATGCTGAGATAAGTTACCTCAGTCTTAATCTTTATCTATTAATATTGCTGGTTTTCTGTAGTAAAGCATAATACATAATCGGGGGTGGGGGGGTGAGGTGATTCCATTTGTCATTGAACCTGTCTTTTAAAAACAAAAACATTTCATACTAGTCCTCACAAGACACTTTCCCCAGAACAATCAGCGACTGAAATGGTGACTTATTCCCACATCAGAGAAAAATAGTTTTACTTGCCTTTTTTCCCCCTATTAGAGATATTAAGAGAAAACCCATCGTATGTAAATTGGATCAAGTAAGAAGTGCGTGCAGACGGCAGGGGGCTTTAAATCTGTCTTCTTAGAAGTCTGATAGATATTTCCTATTTCAACCAGAGGAAACGCATTACGAAGGCAAATGCTGAAGAAGGGAGATTTTTTTAATAGCTATTTTATATCCCACTTTATTCTGGGGGAAAACAGCTTTCATCTGCACTCTTGATATCCGTCCATATCATTAGCATTTGCTTTTTTACCAGGGGTGAACTGGAGACCTCCTCCCCCAGGCCATCTTCTGTCTCTCTGCTGAGTGACCGTTTCTCATAGGTCACAAATTGGTATCCATGAAGCAAGCCCTTAAGTGCTTCTGTCCTCATCAAATCTCTTAAGCATTTCTCTAATATCTTTTGGTCCTATTTTAGCAGAGTTTTAAATCCATTGATTTCCTGGCTTAGGTATTTTTGATGGAATTAAGACTTGAAGCATAAAGGGAACATTTGTGCATGTTTGGCCAATGGATGGGAAAAAGGAGAAGAAAAGTGTCCTTTTACCATCCCTCTTGTGTAATTATTCTGAGGTAAAAAAGAATCTGACCCAAAATGAACTGTGAATTGTTTTCATGGTAAACAAAAAGACATTGTCACTGAGTTTTGTTTATTATAGATTATATTTTAAAATATTTTTCTCCATGAAAGCTATTACTCTGAAAAACGTTGTGGAGAGCTCCTGGTAATGATTTTTTTTTTTTTTTAATTGGTGTGCAAGCTGTCATTTTAATAGTGACATAGGACCCATCTTTGAAGATGCACAACATTAACAGTTTCCTATCATCTCTTTTTTTTCTTTTTTATTTTTTTTTTCTTTTGTAGGTTTATGTATCCATTGACTTGGGGAAAAAATGGATCCTTCTGCAGGAACGAGTTTCAAAAGATCATATTTTTTGGTAAGAAGTCTGTTATTTTCCAAACAAAAAATGAAGAGCAGAAGTATTTCATTCTAATCAAGAAAGATGTTTGCAGAGAAACTGATGGGGACAGTAGATGCATTGGTGTGTTTTGCGGCTTATGTCAGTGTTGCTGCTTCCACTGTTGCAAATTCATACTCATGCCAGTGATCATAGCGAGCGTCAGCATATATAAGGGTTATAGGTCTGGATCTATGGAGCCCAAGATTTAAAGAGAGCTGTAATGTCCAATGAAATTGCTTTTTGTTTTACCGGTGAAATTGATCTTTAGAAAGAGGAGCAGTCTTTTTGCTGAGAAAAATCTATAACATTTTTTTAAGAGAGGTCGAATCAGACCTATTAACTGGAGTCATATATAAACTTACACTATTAAGGAATCTGGTGAAACATGTGACTTTATTGAGTACACATATATCAAATTATTTCATTTTCAGCTTAAATATTTTGCAGTGTCTCAAAATGTTTAAGAAGTGATTCAAGCAGGTTGACAAAATGTTTGAAGAACAAGTCAATGCCTGTTTTTAATATAAATGAAATTAATTTGAAAAGTGCATAACTTTGGCACTGAAATGAACCTTTTGATAATGTTTTTAATTGATTTTGTATTTAAAAATGGTCAGTTTGCACACTCGACATTTATCTGATTTCTATTGGAAAAAGAGAATTCCTCCTTTCACTTTTTACTTCAGTGTGTAAGTATGGATTATGCATAACCGTATCATTACCAATAATTGGTATTTTTTATTACAGGATTAGTCATGACATACTAGACACTTATGTTTCCTAAATTACTTTTGATTTTAGTTCTAAAGAGGACTCTGATCTGTGTCAGTTAGGTAAAATATAACTATCTATATGTCTATGGAGCCATATCTGGCTTTCAGCAATATTTCGTGGTTTGCTAGTGGTGTTGTCCGTGTAGAAATGGATTTACCTGATCTTGGTTGCAAGATTTGCAATGCGTTTGGCATTCATACTTGGATCCTCCTTGTTCTTCAGGTAGTTGCTTTTCTCTTGAGTTGAAATAGCTACTCCCATAGTTGGGGAAAAAACAAAACAAACAAAATCTCAACCTGCTTAAACTGCTGGTGTAGAGGTTACAAAGCATGCAGAGTTGTTATTGACCAAAAAAACCCACTTGGCGAGTCCAAAGGTGTGCTGGCATGTGTGCTGCTGCTGAAGCTGGGCAGGGGGGAGGTTGTGACCCAGGGCAGGGACACGTGGACAGGTTAAACCCTGTTTCAAAGAGTTGGAAGCGCAGGACCTAACCTGCCCAGTGTCCCTGTTGGTGTAATTATCCCTAGACACATCAAGGGAGCTCTTTCACACTTCCAAGTGCCTGTTTTTCAATCTGCAACCTACTTAGTGACCGTACTTTTAGAACACCAGCCTGCAGTTGGTTTGTAGTAGCACCCATCTGATTTACCTCAGTTTGTCTCAACCTTTTCTGCTGAACTACTTGAATCAGCCTGACACTTTCTGCTTAGTTGCTCCTGCAAAATATAGCCTTATTGAAGAACTTACTTCTACACAGCAGCTGGAGTTTCATGGGCAATACACTTTCACAGGTCTCTTAACTACCATGTGAGAGGGTATAATCATTTAGAAGTAACACGGTGTGTCAGAAATGTCATGTCTGCTGTAGAACTTGATTTTTCCTTAGCAAGATTATTATGTAGAGTGTAAATCAGGAGGGCATGTGGCTCTCTGTCTTTAATCAAAGAAATTTTTCAAATGTATTAGGTCTGGGAACTATAAGTCACTAACAGGTAAGAAAGAACAGTGGAAGCCTCTCTCTTGCAGGCTTGCTTAAAGTTGTTTTTCTTATCTGAGTCTAGGTATATTTAACACACTTAAATTATGAAAAACATAGCATACCACTGACATGTGTCAGTTTTGCTTTGACTCAAACAATCTCTCGGTATTTTTTGTATGTAAGAATTAAAGCCAGCAAGTGCATATTTAATATTAAGTCTGTATTTTGCTGTGTGTCAGAATCCTTATATCATTCAGACACAATCAGGGAAGTGTCCTGGAGCTTCGATAGGAATAACTTCCATGTAATACTTCAAAATCAAGGTTGTTCATAAATGTCACATTCCTCTCAGATAAGAATAATAAATTCTACGAGTCTGTATGTTTATAACCTTTAGAACTATTTTTGAGGATTTTGTTTTCCCCTTTTCTGCATATGGACCATTCTGATTTTTCTCAAGAACTGTATCAGCCAGCAACAGCAAGGATTTGGGAGCAGAATTTTAGTGCCTCATCAGTACTAAATGATCCTTCTCTTAAACTTCCATAGAAATAGAGGTATATAAATATATTTTACTTCTAATATCATATGGGGCATTGCAATATATAAAGAATATGGTGAAAGTGATGGGTTGGACATGATGGCCTTCCAGTGGGAATTACTATGGCATTATATGAAACTTTATGCCCTTCATCACCCGAGTTATCTGAGTGTTAGATAGAAACAAGTATTTGTGTAGTTTTGAACAGACGTAAGAATATGGGCTTTGTCGTACCATGACTAGTAGGACACTAAGTCCAGTATTATTTTCTTGGCAATATATAATATCTGATGTGTTAAAGATGGGTGAAATTAATTCAAACTAATAGTACATGTCTCAATAAATGAGGGCACATGTCTTGCTGATACCGGCTGGTAGTGCCAAGAACGTTTCCCTGGGCAGATCTTCAGCAGATGTTTCTTCTTTGATTTCAGTCGGGCTTTGCCACTGAAGTTGATAATATAGCCTAAGATTTTTATTTCAGTCTGGTAACTATAAATATTATCACTCATAGTATTTTCCTGTGCTTTGTAAAAGCAATTTTTTTCTGTGCCTCCAGCTGCAGCCAGATCATGCGTTTTCAGAAGAAGCACTTTTTTTTACTCAATGAAAATCTAAATGCAATTAATTTAATGGCATGTCTTATGTATTTATATTAAGGGAAGGTCCGTAGGGACTGAGTATTTTAAACTATTTATGTTCAGATTTTATACTGTAAGTTTATAAGCAACATATTAAAATCATCTTCTAGGCTTTATTTGCACGACATCTGATAGATGTAAAGATGGTTTCAAAACAGATGTATTCTAGAAATTTCTTTATTTTTCTTTGAATGTTTTCTCATTCAAGTTGAAATGAAAAACTCAAAGTATAGGAAAAAAACGCCAAACGGTTCATAAAATATGGAAATACTGAAAATAATTGCTCTGACACTGTTCATTAAAAAGCTTTTTTTAATTTTTCAAAGAAAAATAATGAAACGCGGATTTGAAATTAACTTAAAATGAAATACTAAGTCACTCTAATTAAAAAAAACCCCAAACATATCAACATTTAAAAAATAAACCCTTTTTTTCCTCTGTATAAATACTAGCTAGGAAGATTCAAATTCTTTTCTTTTTATGTGAAAAGTTTTATTTTTGAGCAAATTCTTGTGCTTTAAAATTAAGAAACTTTGATTACTGTGACCAGTTTTACTGCTGCACGTAAAATGCAACTGGCCAGGCAGTATTGCCGCAATGGAGTGATTTCTCTTTAAGGGATATTATACTACCCGTCCTTTATAAGTACTTTTTCCAGTAGGAGGGAATGCAAAGAGACACGACCTATCCCAGCCAAACATTAAACACCCACACAGCACATGCTATGTAATTGGTTTTATATATCAATCCCATAAAAAAAAAAAAAAAAAAATCTTATGCAAAAGGCTTGTGCCCCAGTTACATTCCTTTTGATTTCTCAAAATAGAGCTTGGTAATACATAAGCAAAGAATAGACTGTGAATCAGCTCTCTACACCAGCACAAACATACCTCGGGACAGTAAGTCGTGAATCAGTGATTAGCAGAGAATTAGGCCCAGCACTTTTTCTTTATGACTCTGTCTAGAGCCTTAGAAATGCTTTACCCTCGATGCACTAGGATATGTGGATCCTATGCTATGGGTATCTATGTACTCTTACTTTTAGCTATAGGTTCTCCATTTTTGTGAGAGATGAGAACATAAAAAATGAGGAGTTTATTTGAGTAGAGCAGTTATTCTCAGGGGACTGAAGTTCTGTTCTCATCATGAAATCCCACATGAGTAATCAATCACAGCCGTTCTCATTAATGTCAAATGTAGCGGGTTCCTGGCTATTCAAGTGTCAGGTGAAAGAGGGGATTTCAGTGATGATGTGCCCTGAAGGAAAGAGAAATGCAAAGAGGATTTCATTGAGCCTTTAACATTGAATTTTGTGTGAAAGGTTCTTTGTGTGGGAAGCCAAGAATCAGTGTGGGCAGTCATTCTTACATGTGACTTAATCGCTTGGGATGGCATTTGTTTCTATTTCTATCTGCGTGGTGATGTGTATGACTCTATTTGGTTTATGTGGCAAGGTTTGGTAGCAGGGCTCTTCAGGGTTTCTGTGAGAAGAGACCAGGAGCTGCCCCCATGTCAGACAGTGGCAGTTCCAGCTGGCTCCAAGAGAGACCCATGGCTGGCCAAAGCTGAGCCCATGAGTGACACTGGTGGCACCTCTGTGGTATGAGAAAGGGTAAAAAAGCTCCCAGCATTTGGGAGAGATGAGTGAGAAAAACATGAAACAATTCTGCAGACACCAAGGTCAGTGAAGAAGGAGGGGGAGGGGGTGCTCCAGGTGCCAGAACAGAGATTCCCCTGCAGCCTGTGGTGAAGTTCATAGTGAGGCAGGCTGTCACTGTGCAGTCCATGCAGAGTAACGCTGGAGCAGATATCCACCTACAGCCCATGGACGGACCCATGCCAGAGCAGGTGGATGTCCGAAGGAGGCTGTGTCCCTGTGGAGACCTGACGCTGGAGCAGACTCCTGGTAGGACCTGTGGATCCGTGGAGAGGAGTCCACACTGGGGAAGGTTTGCTGGCAGGACCTGTGGCCCCATGGGGGACTCACACTGGAGCAGTCTGTTCCTGAAGGACTGCACCCCCTGGAAGGGACTCACACTGG